TTTTTCCAGGTGTATATATATATATATATTTGATGAAAGTAATAGCTATTTTTGTTCTTTTGAAGTATAAAACCACTTGTATATTTGTGATCATGTGGTATATTCATGCCAAATGGATTTCCCTTAGAGTGGTGAGGTAAGTCTGCAGTATAATGAAAGATTCAGCAAAATATATATATATTACAAAGTTACATTGCTTTTCTCTGAATATCTGAGTTTGTGAGAATGAAAATAAGAGACTGGTAAAAAACACAATTTTTATTTTAACATAACACAAACGCAGTGTGTAATTGTTTTGGACAATAGACTGTTACTTCCACTGGATTGAAACTGTTCTCTCCAAATGATCAGTCCAAGATAATGTATTGGCCTGTTTAAATTCAATGCTCCTTACGTTACAGGTAACATCATATTTACTGACAGTGACAAGCAATACCCAGTTAACTGGTCATTCTCATTCAAAGATAGGGAAGGCCACTGTTTTCTACATTTCTTGCACAATATGAAGCATTACAGCCATCCTCCCATGGGTAAAATGAGATGTGTATTCAAAAGAATTACAAGAAACAGAAGCAGCTAGAATGACATGAACTTAATGACATTTTTCACCATGTGTTTATGTGAAAATTTCACATATCTAAAAATAACTGATAAATACAGAAAAATACTACACCAACAAAAATCTTCCCACAGGCAAAACAGTTGTGTTCTTAAAAAAATGACAAGGAGCAAGTCAGTTAGAAGAACGTCAAACTTAATAACTTTCTTAAACACATTTATGTAAAAACTGCACATATTTAGAAATAACTAATTAAATTAGAGTAATACTATATTAATACAAGAAGGTAGAAAATGCATATGGTTATATAATATAATCGTCATCATCATCATGTGTCCTTTCCTCAGACAGATCTAAGGCACAATTTTTCCCTCCATTTAGCTCTGTCTTCAGTTGCTTTATTCATCTGTACACAAGTCCTTCCCTTGTCAAGGAATCTTCCTTGCTCACCTCCTTCATCAGGCCTTTCCCTTCTCAACATATGCACTACACAGATTTTCTTCCTCTTCATGACTGATGTGACAACCCCATGTTCTTCTCCCACCTGATGTAAGACCTCTTCATTTGTCTTTCTTTCAGTCCAATTTATTTTCATGACTCTTCACCAAATCAAGACTTCAAAACCTTCCAGTCTTTTTATTCTTCCTTACACGTTGTCCATGTCTTGCATGTCTATGTTGCCACACATTAGATGCAACTCTATTATTCTGTTTGTTTAATTAGTAACTCCTTTTTCTTTCTGAAGGCTTCTTTAGTCATTTCAATTCTGGTTTTGATTTCTTTAGAGCACCAACCATCTGATGCAATAAGGCTACCTAAAGTAGCAAAACTTATTCACCTCTTCAAACTTTTTACTTTTGACAGTAATGTTTAATTTTCTACCTTATTTCCTTGGCACCCTCATCACTTTAGTCTTATTTTAATTGTAAAATCCTTTGCTGCTTCACTTAGTTTCATAACTAAAAGTTTTATTCCTTCCTTTGTGTTAACCAGCACTACCCTATCATCTGCAAATCTCATTATCTGTCTACCAATCATTATAACTTCAGTCAGATTTTCCTATGCTTCTTTTATCATTGCCTTTACATAAACATTGAAACCTCTTCTGATTATTGCATTGTCTGATTCATCTTTAGCTATTATCACTGTTGCTGTTTGACCCATTTTCAAAGCTACAATCAGTCTTCTATCTTTTCAGCACACTCTGATCATTTGGAATACAGTGAACTGTTGTTTTCTTGTGATTTGTTTCACTTGTCTGAACTTCCTTTCAAGCTTTAAATGAAAACTAAAAACCAAATAAAGCTATAGTAATAGTTTTTTTTATGAGACCAGGTTTTATCTATTTACTGTTATGGATGAGAAAAATGTTTAACTTTATTTTTAATTTTCAAGAATTTTTTAAATATTTAAGTATGTGTCTGTTTCATGTTTAATTAATTGCAATATGGATAGTAACTTTGTTTAAAAATATTTAAAAAGTGTGACATGTTTATATAAGGGACCCTCTAATCAACAATATCCTCAATCCACAAGACATTTGATACACACAGAGATCCCATAAGTTAAAATATATCAACCATTAAGCAGACAAATATAAAGATTTTTTCTCCTTGTTTTTTAAATTTTAATCCACTCAAAAACTTGTTAATGACACAACTACTGTAAAAATACACTTGTAGTGGTAAAAAAGTCCATTTTCAAAAATTCATTAGCTTTCATAAAAAAAACAGAATATACAAAAAAACCTAGTTACAAACAAAATGCACAAAGGTCTAGTAGTTTTCCATGTCAATGCAAGATATAACAGCTGTTACTTCCACATTTCATTTTTACCTTTTAAACCATGCAGCAGTCAGATAGTTTGAGAGAATAAAACAGATTATTTTGATGAGTAACTTTTGGTTTATTCTTTCAGTTCAACTGACAACATTGTATTATTTATCATACCTGACAAGGTATCAAACCTCTCGAAGTGCACTACACAAAAATTGGCACTTCCAAAGAAAGTTTAAACTAATGCTATTCCTTCACTCTTCTTTATTTACAGAGGCATAAACAATAAAGTCAGACCCACTTTCCACGCCCACCTGTATCACCCCCCCTTTAAAAATTAAAGATGATTCTTTCTGGTGCTATATATTATATCTTTTATAATCAATAGAAAGGTAAAGTTTTAATCTATTAAATGACATTATATTGTGTTGTTTTAAGTACAGAATATTGTCTATTTCAGTTTAAAAGTTTCTCTCACAGTGTTCAGTTCAAGAAGCTTAAGGAACTATTTTAAGACTCTTATGTCATAGTTACAACCAGCGAAATTGTAATATTTATAGGACGTTGCTTTGTGCATGTTATTATTGTGTTGTAGGTGCATTACTTATTTAAGCAAGTACAAATTATTTAGTGTACTACTGTCATCAGTGAAAAAAAAGTAGGCATAAATTTCATCTGTAACTAACAGCAAAAAAACATGAGGTCAAAGGTAAGAACTAGATTTCTTGTTTTTCATGTATTTTTCATTCATTGTTATAAAGTAACTAAAATATAAAAACTAGAATAGGTTAGACTAGGTAGGCTAAAGAAAAATAATAATAATTCTCCATAAGGCATGCTCACGAGTAGCTTTTGCATTTCATCATTCAATACGGTAACTTGACCTATTCATTCACCAAGTGATTTTCAACTTGTGTGGCAGGATTATTAGTTAGACACTGTTCAAAGTTCAATAAAACAATAAAATTCAGTAGAAACAGATGTAAACTGTTATGAACCTTAAGTTATTTAGGATAAAAAAATGTAATTTCATGTTACAATTTGCATTCATTCTAGAAAGAAAAAAGGGTAATTTAGATGTATTTCATATTTTTTATTGTAGTTACAAGGTCTGTCAAATTGACAGAGTTCATAT